CGAAACGAAATAACTTTTTAACGAAATACAATTTTTTCTGTCAACGGCAGCTAACAAATTCAAAGTCTATAAAAGTATGTTTTCTTTCCATATACATATATTCTATTTCATGTTATGTTTTGGTTAACGATCTTAATAAAAGGCATTATGCACTGACATTTGTTCAAGACTTAAAATGACTATTTTATAACAGAAAAGTTTTTGAAAATTGCAATATATTATATAAACTTGAACAATTTAGATTTAAAGCGTATAATTAAAATGTTGTTTTTTGTAGAAATCAGAATATCAAGCAATTTGGATTTTCCCCACCAGCGTTGTAATTAGGTGTACGCGTCTGTAAGTTAGATATTATTAATATATAAAACCAAAGGAAAACAATCACAAAAACATGATTATAGCAGACTTCCCTATTAATTCTGTATCTACTCATAGTTGTGCGAATATAAATATATTGAGTATATTAAAAAAAAATTCAATGCATAACAATTTCAAGGTAGACCCATTGAAATATTCCTTCAAGTTTCGCTGAAATAAGCGTTTTTTTTTGCTTAATTAACAGCAACACCTGTTTTTTCCTTTAGAATGTCTTGGTGTTTTGTAACTATCTTGAAAATGAATTATTGTCCAAAATTAACCTTAGCACCGAGAACTATAAGTTTCGCCTTTTGCCGAGATAAAATAATGTCTTAACGTACGAATGTCGCATTCGGCTTAAAAGAAATGCAAAAGATATTCCCACAAGTAGTTAAAAAATTTCGAAATTGAATATCTTAGAAGTTCGAAGATCAAATAATTCGAGCAAAAACATTTAGTGCCAAATATTTCAAAGCGAAACTACCTTATGAAGTTCTTGTATCATAATGAAAATTAAATTAGACTTTATGTTTTTATACTATGTATATGCAAATATCATGTATCATTTATATATGTATTTATATTTATTTACTTCCGTGATTGTTCCTCTCGCCTGATATTTTGTTAAATTACTTTTTATAAAAAAACTAATAGCTAATATGGAGCAAAAGCGGGCTGTGTATACATTACTTATAAATTTTATACTTTCACAAGTCTATCAATGTTCATGTATGTATCTATTTAGCTACTTATTGTAAATAATTTATATATTAAAACAATTATGATAATGCTCATTTTATTTTGTTTTCTAATTCTTTTAAATGAATGTAGGAGGAAGAAATTATGTACATGCATTTCTTGATTTGTTGTTCGTGAGCATGTGATCAACTAACATATGCAAAAGCGATCACACTAGTTTTTTTAGCGAATGTAAACGAAGAAGAATATTTTGAAAAGTACATAAACGCGTGTAAACTAGTAAAAAAGAATTAAACGCACATTTTTGAACTCGTAAACATCTTTGCATTTAGTTATTTTACTGTTGCCGAGTCCTTTCTAATTTTTGAACTTAATGTATTTTTTATAGAAATTACACAAATATTTATGTAATAAGATTTATAGTAATATATATACAACTATATCCAGTTTAAATGGTATTAAAGACTAACGGCAGAATGCGAGACAATATGAATAGCGAAATATCTATAAATAAAAATTTCTGATGGAAAATAAATATAAATGTCAGGTTTTATTCTTTTTAGAAATATTAATAAGCTTTAGAACTGAGAATTGAGCGTATTTTACATTTGTTCAGGCTTGTTTGACATTGGTATCGAAGTTGTTTTATAAGCAAGACATGCGTGTTTACTTTAACGCTGGAAAAATTCATTGCTTTATTAATTCCCAGTATTATAGATTTGATTTTAATTAGTTTGTTAATTTTTGAATAACTTCTAGCGAATGAAGAGGGTTCAAAAAGAAAGGTTTAGAACACCTATTCTTACCAGCCCACCGTCTACAAACTGATTGGACCTTATCCTTACTCCTGGTAAATTAACCATTGACCAGATATTCACCATGCGCCAAATCTCGGAAAAGGCCAGTGAGAAAAGAATCGATTCCATCACCTTTTTATAGACAGCACAGTAAGGAAATCTCCGAGCCGTTAGGTACCAAAAGAGGTTTCAGACAGAGTTATCCTTTATCGTGTTTCCTCAATCAGAAGCTAAAGAAGCTGCAGAGCTAAATAAACAAGGTACAATATTTTACAAGAGTGTGCAACTACTGGCATATGCCGAGGATATTGATATCACAGGCCTTAACAACCGTGCCATTAGTTCTGCTTCGGCAATATATATAGTACCCGCTGGTGGAAGCAGAAGAAAAAGACCTTCACTCCGTTGGAAAGATCAGGTGGAGTGCTACCTAGTTTTCACTTGGTATTTCTAAGAAATGAATAGCGCAATACTTTTTATTCGGTTATAATCGCGTAAGCGGTGCCTACGCCAATAAAGAGGAAGGAGTAAATTGGTAGTTGAGGCACTTTTAGTTTATTAACTGTCGAAATCCCACATGCTTCATAACCGGTAAACTACAAAGATACCAATATTATTTTTATGATGGTCCTATGAAGATTTATGTAAAACTTGCTTTGCAACAATTTGCCGCTTACATTTTCAAGAAAAATGGTTGAAACATGGGAAAAGATTTTGAATGTTTTTTTCTGTATTGACCGGCAATGTTAACTGAACATTAAAAAATTGCTTGCATTCTTTTGGGGGAAAAAAATCTAAGCATAGTCAGTTAGAGCTTTGTTTTTTCTTCGTTATGGTCATTGTGACTGTAGCAACTACTTTGCTTCGCAATGCTTTGCGGCTTATTCGATGCGCATACATACAATACTATACTTGAGGTTTTACTGGCAGAAAAAAAATTTAGTTCGCTCATTGCAAAATTTAATTTTACTAAACCATGATCGGTGAGGCAAAGAACGTGGCTTAGGAAATTCCGTAACAACTGCCCATCAGGTCACCGAACGGAACTATCGTCAACAAAACAAAAATGTTTTAATTGGAAATAATAATATTAATACTTATGAATGATACACTAACAAAAGAAGTGATTAAATGCATTATGGCAACTGAATGATAACTACGATTTAATTAAATATTAAAGATAGCCGTTATACGAAAATTTGGTATAATTGAATATAACCTTATTTTTTATGGTGCTGATTTTGTATTCCTTAATCAACACAATGTAAAATGTTGGTCGTACTTGCAAGGAAAAATAAAGTGCTTTCAAAATATGTTTAGACATTATTCAAAAATAATCGAAGAAATCCCATAATAATGTTCAGATCAGTCCGGCTTACACGGATAAACTTCCAAACTCATTTTCATATTTCAATCATCCTCTCTGAAAACCTAAGCGACAAATTGTTTCAAGGTTAGTCTTAAACGAATCTTTGTCCGTTCAGAAAACTATCACCAAATCTTTACAATAATTTTGGAATACAATAAATAAATTAAAAATACCTTATAATTGCCAATTAAAATACTTAAGAAAAATAAAAGCAGTATAATTGAACTGATTCAAATGTAACTGCCAAAATAAACAGCTGTTGTGCAACTTGCTGGATGTTGTAAATTTAATTCGGCGAAATTTCAATTCTGATTCTCTCAATTTCTTACTGACATTTCTCACCGAACAAACTAGGAAAACAAATTTTGAAAATCGGCCTCTCTGCGAAATTACTTTTTGGCTGTTCTAGATAGTAATTTATCTTTGCACTTTCAATTTTTTGGTTGTGCCGTGCGAGATTTTTTGTATAATGCATGTTTCAAAGAGGTGTAAAATGGTTGATAACGAAAATTGTTGTATAGGAAAAACGATCTCTGGGGAACTATATTTATAAACCTAAAAAAAGTATAATAGCGCGTAGTCTTGCTTCTGAATACGTAGTTAGAGATGCTGAGCAATCCACACTCAATTCCCACTTTTTCACACTTTGTGCGCCTAAGTTTAATACGCTGAACTTGGGATCCACCACCATTTAGCTACTTGTCAAGACATGCCTTGTGACTTAGATATGGGTACATCCAATATATGAATCACCTCTGAGCAAAAAAGAATTTGACTCAACAAACACAGAAAATGTTCGACGTGGAATAGCTGAAATACAACAGACAGTTTTCACTAAAAACAATTCGGTTTACGGAAATTGTGGAGGATTATTTTCCAACTTAAAGAGATGGCAGACAGCTTACCTCACAATGTTGCGATTAATCGCAACCCATGTAGGGTGGCATACAAGAAGAAATTTCTAGTAAATTGAACTCAAGTACAATTTTTTCGAATTCTCAAAAAATTAATTTTTTATTTTTTTGAATGCACATACATACATATTGAATATTTTCCGAAAATCCGAAGTAGTTTGACTTAGTTTTTTTGGAGCCATTTTGTCAAAAATACAAAAATTTCAATCTATTCTAATACTAAATTGTATTGGTTTATGAGTTTCAGAAAATTTAAAGCAGAAATATCTTCCTTACCGCCAGACATCTTTTTGGAGGCCCTCATGGAGATCGGCCACAGGAATAAGAGGACCCAATACTTTTTTAAATTGAATCGTTTATTGTTAAACTAAATTGTCTATTAACATTTTTTCTATTAATTCATGAAATAAACTGTCTCTAAAAAAAACCAAGAAAAGGATTTGTTATGTTTTGCAAGTGGATATAACCCCTTAAGAAAAAGGGTTACTCATGGAAATCTATGCAAAAAACTACAAATATATAAAATTTCAAGTGAATCGATAAATAATTTTCGTATAAAAATATCTCTGGCTCACTCCCCGGAATAAGGTTAAATTTTCTTTCGGTAATTATAAACAATTAAAAGAATTGAGGCGTTGTCAATTGATGAACTTACTATACCTATTTTTCCGAAATTTTCATATATACACAAATTATCCGTTGAATAAATAATTTGTTGAGTTTAAGAAAATGTATGCCGCCGAAGTTCAGCAAAGTATATTTCTGTAAAGAGCTTTGGCGTAAATTTTTCCAGAACAAGAATATGGTGGTTTTTCCGCTTGCCAATTCCGGGTTTCTAACAAATGAAGCCCAAACAAATGTGGCTTTTATGTATATGACAAATATACTTTTTCGAGCATGAAGAGTAAGCGAAGTAGTGATGTGAGCTACTCCGGTACATGCGCTAAGCCTTTATTAAAACCTTCTTTGAATTTAATATATGTACATGTCGATTCGTAATGTATTTGTATGATCAAATTGATCGAATTTCTATTTCCGCTAAATATAACCAAATATTATGTTCTGCCGCCAGCCTGCCCCTTGTTCATAGTAGCAATTTAATTTCTTTCGTTGTGCAATACTATCTAATAATTTATATAATATAAAATGTGTAGCATAAATATTTCTCTCTCACTTTGTGGGATTCAATAATCAATTTCCAGCCACAAATATCTTAAATTAGTTCATTTAAAAGCTATTGCACAAAGTAGTACAAGCCAAAACAGACTTACCAAAACCTTATTTTTCTTAAACAGGATGTTATAAAAGTGGTCTTAACTATCATTTGTACACACATGTACCTTTTTCTTAAACAAAACTTTATGTAACTTTACTTATATATAAACTTAGACGTATGGAACTTAAAAAGCTATAAAATGAAGCTGCATTCAATGCTTAGACAGGTTCAACGGCACATCTGTAAACAAAAAATAACATTAATAATGATAACAGCAAAGTAATGAACTTATCCACTTTTCATGGTAGTTTAAACATTGAAACAGTATAATATAATCTAATATATCTTTTATGTATTTTTTAATATATTATTTCTATACTATTCGAAAAGCTTGTGATATTATTTTTTTTACAAAATATGCAAAATACAGCAGAAAATTAACATAATTTTCAGTGATTTACTGAGGCTTTATAATCGCTGCCCCTATTTTCAGCCAAGCTCTTTTTTTAATTTAGAGACACCGCATAATGTGTTAAGCTGCTGCTTGGAAGCATAATATGTTGCCTCTGCGGGGAGTCACTATATAGCTATTTATATTACACGTAACCATTAGTTGGGCAAAGCAATTAAAACATGTGTACATTGTGCAATCAGAAAAACAAATTATTGGCGTACATAAATTGCTCAATTCTTAGTATTGTATTTCTCTGTCACAAATCAAACCTTCCTTCCATAGTATAAAGAGAAATAAAAAAAACTTTAATACTTGTGAACTAATATGTATAAATGCAAAATACATACAATTATGAACTAAAGTATTGGCACAGCAAGATATTTTAACATTACCAGTTTTTTACCACTTAAGAAAATATTTTTAATTCCGAAAAAAAACTTTCAACTATTTTCTCTTTAATTCATTTGATTATCTTTTATGTTAAATTAATACTAATTATAAATGAAAAAAATACTACTTTTCACCACACAAAAATTGGCACACTGTAAATTTCACTTGGCTATTTCGCTTAAATTTTATTGATCTAGCAACTTTTTTTTAAAAGCCCCGTTATGTTTACAATATATATATACAGTGGCTCAAAAATGAACTCGGACACCCAAGTTATATGACTTCAAACAAAAAAAATATATAATAAAATGCCAATCGAGGGCTTTCTGTTTAACATATATTTCTATTCTTCAAGAGTATTTTTCAAAACAAACAAAACCACAAACTAAATTCAGCTCAAACAGCACTGATGACAAAAAGAACTAGAACATATATATAACATAGAATTTAAAGATATTATTTAATGAGAAACAAAATATTCTTAATATTTGGTCGGCAATCCTTTACTTTTTCTGATAGCATTCAGTCTTCTTGGCAGAGATTCAACTAGCTTCTTGCATGTTAAAGAATTTACTTTCCCCCACTCTTCCAAAATAGCGGCTTCTAGGTCTTTCTTATTTCTAATAACATGTATTTTTAGTTTATTTTCCAAATGAGCGCACAGATGCTCAATTACGTTAATGACGGGAGATTGAGGAGGTGTTTCAAGCAATTTAGGACAGTTATACATCAACCATAGACGGACATCAAGTGCTTCATGCTTGGTATCGTTGTCGTGGTACTACTGGAAATTGTCTTTAATTCTCAACTTTTCTACACTTTGCACTAAATTTTTTTTAAAATGGTCAAATATTGCTTGTGGTCCATATTACCATTTGCGAAACACAAATTTCCGGCACCAGCTGCGGACATACAACCCCATACCATTACTGAGCTGCCCCCGTGTTTAACAGACGGACGTAAATTCTTTTCTAGCAACTCTTCATTCGGTTTTCTCCAAACATAAGGCTGTCCATCTGACCTAAATATATTGAATTCGCTTTCATCTGCAAATAAAACTTGTTTCCAGAATTGAAAATCCCTTTTGTTTCGGTCAATCTCGTTTATAAATGGTTTCTTCCATGCTACTTTTCCATTATAATTATTTTTTCGTAAGACTATTCGGATACTCTCCAGATTACAATTTATATTGAGATATTGAAAAACTTCTGTTGAGAGCTTTGGAGCGCTCGCGTTTGGATTTTTTTATTTGCTGCACTATCCACCGCTCATCTGCAGCCGAAAACAACTTCGGTCGTCCAGACTTTATTTTTGTTTTCCACGAATTTTGTTTGTTTGAATCGTTTAATCACGTCATGCATGGTCGAGCGGGATCTGCCCACAATTTCTGCGATTTGCCGAATGGTTTTTCCCATTTCAAAATGACTAATAATTAACTTCCTTACTTCAATTGAGCTTTGTCCACGCTGTCTACCCATGTTTGAACTTTTCACCTTTTTTTCCAAAAAAAACTACTGAAATTTTATTCTAAGCTATTACGTTTGATTATATACATATGTATTTTTAAACAAAAACAAACTAATTGTGGGATTACACTTTTTAAAATGCCGGGGACCTGTAATATTACCAGATGTCCTTCTTCTTTTTTGGCGAAATTTCTAACATGCCACATGTTAATTTTTTGAAACAAGGGTATAGGAGACCTTGTTTGTTATTGGTATTTTTTAAATCCTTATTGGATACTCTATAGGAATATAAAAAACAAAAATGCTTAATATCAATTGATTAAAAAAATCTAGCTTGAAACTGCATGTTAATAACAGTGGAGTGTATGTCCGAGTTCTTTATTGAGCCACTGTATATTGTAGATTAGATGTGTGTATATATTTTCGTTTGGTAATTTAAAAAAAATTTATTTCAAAATTTCGTGTTTGACTGAAAGTGAAAATTTTAATAATTTAGAAAATAAAAATATTTAAACTAAATTTTGGTAACATAAAATCAGAAAAATTTAAAATAACAAGATATAAATGGTAAAGTAGATTTTTAAAAACGTCTTGTTTGATTAAAAGTGAAAATTATAATAATTAAGAAAATTTAAATATTTGAAACCTTAATTCAGTAACATAAAATAAAAAAATTTTAAATAATAAGTTATAAATGGTAAAGTACGTGTAGATTCCTACACTACATAAGCAATTGCGTTTTTTTTTCAAGAGTCAAACCGCAAACATCAGAGTAGCTTCATTTATAGTGAATTATGCGTAATTTTCAGAAAAATGAGTGGGAAAAAGTAAAACTAACGTAGTCGCTACACCATGACAAGTATTGGAAACGATTTGAGGAAGTTTCATCTTTACAATTCGCTTTAAATGACCGCGAACGCAGCCAAATTGTAAAAAAGGTAAAAAATATACCCTAGATTATCTTCACACAAATTGCAGTGGAAGTTAAGGAAGAGTTAGGAAAGGAGATTCATCCGAAAACGGTCCTCGTGAAGCTAGACGCAAGCCCCTTATTTCAAAAGTGAACCAAAAAGAAACGTTTAGCCTATGATAAGGAGTACCTACGCAAATTAATTGACTTTTGGTGTAATGTACTCTTCTCGGATGAAAGTAAATTCAATATCTTTCAAACTGGCCCCGGCCCCCAAACTGTGTGGAGAAAACCTAACATTGAACTTCAAGAAAAAAAAACCTTTTTGCGACAATAAAATATGGTGGTGGAGGAGTCATTGTATGGGGCTGGATGTTCCCTGTAGTTGTGGGCGAGCTGGATTTTATTGACGGCATTATGGACAAAATAATATTATATGGAAATTCTTAAGAGGAATGTAAAAGAAGTACTGAAAAACTTAAACTAACAAAGTCATTTACATTTTACCATAACAATGATCCGAATCATACCGCGCATGATGTGCGTATGTAGCTTGTTGAAGCTGGCATTGGTGGAGGAATGGCAGAAAATTGGGGCAGAAACCACCGCTCAAGATGTGCGTATGTGGCTTGCCGCATCTGCCCCAATAATCTGATCTAAACCCAATTAAACATTTGTGGGTGGAGCTGGATAGGCGCGTTAAAAAGCGCGCTGAATCAACAAAATAAGAGTTGAAGCTGGCACTGGTGTAGGAATGGAAGAATAGTGGGGCAAAAATCGATGCACGCGGCTACAAAATATTATATAATTTTTTTTCGTTAATATTTTAATATTTTACTATATTATTTTTATGTATTTATGAAGCCAATACTATTGCTTGGTGAAAATTAGTGTTTTTTTTTTTCATTTTCATATTAATTTAACATAAAAGATAATAAAATGAGTTGAAATGAAAATGTGTCCCTCTGTATAGAATTTGTTTTCGGAATTAAAATATTGTTAAAGAGATTTAGTGCTTTGTTTGTAAAAACAATTCCTTTATAACTTCAGACATGTATATTGTATACCTATTCACAAAAATCATTTATCTAGTTTAAGATGATAACTGAATTATTTTAAGTTTCGATGTACCTGAATTATGCTCTTCTTTGATACTAGAACATCTTCCTGTCTCTAATCGTAAGCCTGTTGCATTATTTGGAATTTCATCAGCTGCTAAATCAGTCGTTTGCTCAGTCAATATTGCCTCTGAATCTTGTGACCCACTACTTCCGTTGATTGTGTTATGAGGAGCCACCATAACCGGTGTGCGACTAAGACTATGCCCATGCATTAGTGCAGATGAGGCCAATATTTGTTGTTGTTGATGCTGCATTACCGCTGCCATCGCCGCATTAACACCATTGTATGCAAAACTGTGAAACGATGAGGGGGAAAGTCGTAGTGATGGTGAGTTTGTTATTGATGGCATGTGTACCGGTAACGACGCGCTGCCATAATGTGACCATAATTGTGGTTGCCGCAATGCCGCCAATGCAAAATATGGGTTCATGTAGGCGGATGGCATTATTGATGGAATGTATTGTGCTGCTGTAGATACAGAACTGTGTGTTCCCCCAGACACAACCGGCAAAACTATGCCTGGTGAAAGTGATGAGCTTTGTTGCACTGGACTTGAAGCTTCATTCGGTGTAGTCGAAGGGTACATATAATAATGTTGAAGTGGTGAAGGAACTATATTACCACGTGAAGATCCGCGGTGCAATTGATGAGGACCACCTCCGCAAATATTCGGCCCCGAAACAGGGGTTATGCGGTCCTGAGAAGAGTACGTATCCTCAAAGGGGCGATCAACTGATGACGCACTGCTACTATTTACAACAGCGGTAGTAGGGGAAGCAAATTGCCTACGAATTGAAGCAGTCTTTTTTGGTACAGTTCTTGGAACAGTATCACGTGGTGAATCAGTCATATTACGAGAATTAGACGGCGAGTTTTCTCTGCTGTTGCCTATAGAAGTGGAAGCTGGTTGATTGGATGAATTTGTAACAGATGCTGGCGAAGAAGTTCTATTAAATGCTGAAGGGAAGCGAGAAGAATGTTGATCTGCAGTGCAACCAGAATTATTTAATGCGTTGGTAGTAGTGTTTGAAGAGTTACTTATCGTAGAAACATATTTCGATAAAGACGTGTACGGCAAAAAGTAGCTCTGATTTTGTGAATGCATTGGTGATGAAGAATCTAGATTTAAAGGGTGGTCGGAGCCGTAGCGTGTTTTATTGTTAAATGTTCCAACCTCACTTAAAGCTTGGGAGTCTCGTAAGGGAGACACATAAGGAGGAGAGCGAATTTTCGGAACCGGAATTGAAGGGGATTTAACTCCTGAGCATTGTTCTGGAGATTTGGGTGTAGCTAGCATTGCACGCAAATATGATGGATCACTATAATGCTGTTGTGAAGAACTTTGATGTTGCTTTGGATGATATCCCATAGGGTTAGCCGTGATATCTTTAGATCTTTTACTTGTGCCTACATTTGTGGTTGCTAATGTCGGAGCTTTTGAGCTACTACAACCACTGCCTCCCAAAAGCGAGTTTATACTATATGAGCTATAAAGGCGAGTAGGTGCCGTTGTCATTAAAGTTGATGTAGTACTCGATTTTGCATACGTAGACGGCGATGGCCGATGGACGTTGTTTTCAGAAATTGTGTGATTCCCACTAGAGGAAATTTTACTAGTTGTATTAACAACACTTCGGTTATTATTAGGCGACTCCATACTTCGATAAGACGATGCTGACGAAGATGACGCATTACTTTTTGCTCGACTTCGCTTACCACCTGCCACATTACAATTATCTTCTAAAGAGACTTTCTCGAATTCGCGAAGAATACGTTTGCGCGGTGATACATGCTGTTGGGGGTACTCGACTAGGCGTGTTGATGACGACGTGCATTGTTGCGGAACCTAAAAATACATTAATAATTATAGATTTTCATTTTATCGGTGGGTGTTTGTTTACCTTTTGAGAAATTAAATTACTATGACCTTGGATACTATTTGAAGATCCAACAGATTGACTCAGCCTGGAGAGTTGTGCAAGACGTTCGGGAACTCTGTCTATTAATTTTTGTACGATTATATTTAGCTTAACTCGTTGTTTAGGGGCTTTAAGTCTTTGGTCTTCATTAAGTTTTACACAAAAACCTTGATCATTGGGATCAACTTTATCCACTTTGGAATTAAGGACAGGAACATCATTTGAACTACCATTTAGCTCAGGCTCTGATCCCTCGTCTCTAGTTGTCGTGGATACTATATTCTCATTTTCAGTTGTTTTAACTTTTTCTAAAATATTCGACTTAATGTCCTCAACTGTGACATCAATATCTACATCTTTAGATTCTTTATTCACCGTCGCTTTATTTTCTTTATGACACGAAGAAAGGAGAAATGAAGGTGCTAAAGATGTCGGTCCTTCTTCCATTCGATTGTCTGAGAAATCGTTACCGGTAAGTGTAGCCGTGGATGAGCTGGAGCATCCGTCCACTTCATTTATCAAAGCAGCACCGATATCAACACTGCAATTGTTTTTCATGTCATTTTCTGTTTCATTGTCCCTATTTATTTCTTTGATATCGTTTTTATTCGACAATGGTAATTTTTCTGAAGTTTTTAAAACTATAGAATTTAAATTTGTGTTTTGTATATCGTTTGTATTTAATGAACAAAAATTTCCTGGAGTTTTTAAAACTATTGAGCTTAATTGCTCGAAAATAGGTATCGGACACAAATTCTTATCGCATGGCTTTCTACGCTTCTTACGAGCTAAAAAAACTGCGATTTTACTTAAAGAAGCAGCCCGTGGCCGCCGATAATATAGTGACATGGCTTTTGATATGCCGCTCCGGGGAGACAGTTGCTTCCAGCAATGATCTCTTTGCCATGGAGATGACTGTATTGAACTGTTGTCATCTGAAACTAAAACCCAAAAAAGTAACATTTTTTTAAATATCTCACACAAAATATTTGCAATCTTACAGCTTAAAGATGTTAAACTTTCATTCTTAGAGTAAGCTATTGATGTGGCCAAAGTTGGCGTGACCGTAGATGAAGTTGCCGATGGGGCACGGAATATTTTTCGTGGTACAGATATCCAACGGCTCTTTTCGCCATCTTTAGAACGCGCCAATTCCAATATGACTTTTCCATCTACAAGTAAATCATAATATTATCAATATCTTTTCAAATTAAATAATAACAATGGTCAACAAAAAAAAAAAGAAAATTGTTATTTGTTTCCTTTATGTTTCGTTTCTCCCTCAAATTGATTTTTTTCTAATAAACCAAAAAATATTGTTTTGGTATTATGTTAAATAAATGGTCATAACCTAACTTATTTTCTGCCAAACGAGGACTAAAGCCAATTCTTGTGAATATTAACAAAATACAATAAGCGAGGATTTTTATTCGAATTAAGGATCACGATTTGAGGGCAAGCACCTGGAATGTCCGGTTACTTAATTGGGGAGATGCCGCTGCTGAGCTGGTTGATGTCCTCGTAAGATAACCTAACTTATTTTCTGCCAAACGAGGACTAAAGCCAATTCTTGTGAATATCAACAAAATACAATAAGTGAGGATTTTTATTCGAATTAAGGATCACGATTTGAGGGCAAGCACCTGGAATGTCCGGTCCCTTAATTGGGGAGATGCCGCTGCCGAGCTGGTTGATGTCCTCGTAAGATATCACCGCCATCCAAGAAGTGCGATGAACGGGAAAAGGGCAAAAACGAGCTTGCGACATTTACTACAGCGGCCATATGAAGGAGAGCAAATTTGGTGTTGGTTTTGTGGTGGGAGAGAGGCTCCGTCGCCAAGTACTGGCATTCACAGCGGTGGATGAGCGTCTCCCCACAATCAGCGAAGATGAGCATGCGCCTCTGTGTATCGAGGAACGCCCGTCCATAAACACAAGGAAAGTCCGACGTTAAAAAGCTGCAATCACAAAAGACTGCCGAACGATTTTCTACTCGACTTGCACGCTTGCTCTCTGAGAGCACTCACCAGCAACTCGGTATGCGGGACCTGTGGGACGGCATCGCAAACTCCCTACCTACAGCTGCAAACGAAACTATTGGATTTCGTAAAGGTCGCAAAAGCTGCTGGACTGCCTATGAGCACTGCCGTGCCGCAGTGGAGAGAAAACAAACTGCCTACCTTGCGATCGACCACAACACGTGCGGGATGGGATCGATACCGAGATATGAAGAGGGAAGCAAGACGCATCTGCAGACAAAAAAAAAATAGAGGCCGAGATGCGTGAGTATGGAGAGCTTGAGAGGCTGGCCGACTGGCTGCTCGAATATTCTATGAGAGGATACGACGACGTAGCAGACTCTTGTAGGACAAAAAGAGGTGATCCAGCCACCGTTGCCCAGAGTATACTGAATTAATGGAGAGAACACTTCCCCAATCTGCTGAATTGCAGTAAAAATGTGGAATCCGCAGATGGGGAGCCCGAAACACCAATCGATGGCCTACCGGCAGAACTATTCAAATATGACAGTGAAGAGCTGACAAGGTGAATGCATCAGGCAGAATATCCTCAGACGAAAGGAATTTAAGTGTGCTCTGCCCAATCCATAAAAAAAGGGGACCCCACAGTCTGCGCCAATAACCGTGGGATAAGCGACCTTAATATCGCCTATAAGATAATGTCGAGCGTATTGTGTAACAGACCAAAGCCCACCGCAAAACTTATACGGCTGTGTAAAGCTGACGCTAGAAAACACCAGAAAACCTCAGCAACCGCGGCGTTTTTTCATGCTTTCTCCAGGCTTGATAAAGAAGCGAAGCGAATGGGCCTGGTAATGAACGAGGACAAGACGGAATATCTCATGTCATCAAACAAACAGTAATCGCATTCCCGACTTGTCTTTCACGTCACTGTTGACAGTCATAACTTTGAAGTCGTAGATAATTTCGTCTTTCTAGGAACCAGCATTAACACCAATAAAAACGTCAGCCTTGAAATCCAGCACAGAATTACTTCTGACTGAGAAGGTAAACCAAACTCTACAAGTCCCTCATCGTTCCCGTCCTGCTATGTGGTGCGGAAGCATGGAGGATGACAACATCTGATGAGTCGGCGTTAGGAGTTTTCCAGAGAAAGGTTTTGCGTAAGATTTATGGTCCCTTGCGCATCGCCAACGGCGAATACTGCTGACGATGGAACGATGGGTTGTACAAGTTATACGGCGGTATTGATATAGTTCAGCGAACCAAGAAGCAGCGGCTAAGGTGTCTACGTTATGCGGTCCGGATGGATGCGAATACTCCAGCTTTGAAAGTTTTCGATGCAGTACCCAACTTTGAAACCAGAGGAAGAGGAAGACTTCCACTCCGTTGGGGTAGAGAAGGACCTGGCGCCAAACAGCAAAAAGAAACGAATGGCGCAATATAGTTAAATCGGCTTAAATCGCGTAAAGTAAAGAGGATTCTTATTCAGATTATAAGTACAGAAAAATTTAAAGGGGATATTTTAGATGAGTTACAGATTAAGCATGACCTAATATCCACGTCGAGATTGTTGAGTGGTGAAAAATCCTCTTTCAAAATTCGCATTCAGACGTTCAATATATTAATACACTCTAGAAAACCATCTTACTTACTTTTAAAAAATTGTAATCTACCACCGAAAGTTCCACTGCCTGCGGAAAAATTAGCTTCAATGTCATTGTTTTTGCCACCACCATTTCTGTGCAATAGCAGCTTTTCACTTTTATTATTGACTTTGTCTTTATCGCTGTAAACATTACTGTGGTTATTGAGAGGCACTGAAGACATGGCATTCATTGTACAATCAATAACGTCAATATCCGGAGCCTTAGCACTGCTAATTAGATGAGCTGATAAAGATGTTGTACAGCTGGAGCCCAATGCAGCAGCAGCGGCCATGACTTTATCAGTAAGTTGCTGCAATATAAATTCCTGTGAAGAGGATTCAAAGTTTGGTATGCTTGAGAGTGTTGTGACCGGTTTATGAAACTCTGGAGGCTCTGCCTGAAGAACCGTTGTGGAATCTGTTGTATTCTTTGTAGCTGCAACCGTACCATTTCATGCGGTACTTTCTTCCTTTTTTTTATTTATTTGGTCAATAAGAACAGATGAACAGCTTTCAGAAACAACTTTTGGCACATTTAGTCCTTGTGACAGTGTTGATAACTTAGTAATATCAATAGCTTCGTTGTTAACCTCGGTATTTTTTCCTGGTCCTAAAATAAAATTATCATTCACAGCTGCACCAAGCCGCATTGGTAGACCCTCATCGTTGCTATAAACATTATTTCGTATATGTCTACTTACGTCGCTCTGAATATTTATTGTAACATTTGTATTATTATTTATGTTAAAAATCTGCTCATCTGTCATTTTTGTTGTAGCATCTTCGTAATTTTTCTTTCCATTGTTACATATACTAGTTGTTTTAAATGCCAAATCCTACGCCTTCGTGGCGCATGGTCGATTTATATTGCAGGTTTCCTATATTTTTGTTATTGACCATATCCTTCCGTGTTTGTGCTTTAAATGCTAATTGTCTTTTCTATTTTGTAAAATCCACAATCTTATGCATGTTTTTATTATTTTGTACATATATATGCATATGAAATGTAAAATCGTTGCAATAAGTGTTGTGAGTACATACCACCGAGCCGCTTCTGCAATTATTTAATGATAATGCTTAATTAATTCGCATTTTAAAAGAAAATGTAAGCTCTTGCTTGGATTTTATTCAAAAATAATGGAAAAATAAAGTTAAAGCTAAAATAAAGTTCAGTTCAAGGAAAACATTCTTAACTCATTTTCGTATTCCAATCCTCCTTATTTAAAATCTAAGCGACAAAGCAAGTCTTACATAAAACTTTCGTCCATTTAGAGGACAATCCGAAAAATCACATTGGTATTTTTATGGTTCAACGGCTCTTTAACAATATGTTCTTTCCAATAATTTTTGAATGCAATATAATTGCTAATATTTTTAAATACTTAAAAGCAGAAAATTATAAAACGTAAAAATGAAGTATTCAAATGTAACTGCCAAAATAAACAGATTATCGAAATCAGCACCATTGCTTTTGGTAAGGGTTTCACTAGTGGAAAAAAGTGGTAATACAAGCACAAACTAACAAACAAAAAACTATTCGTGTGAATATGTTAGTGGAATCCTGAGCGTAGTTGTAAGGCTGTAATAACCAAGAGAAAACGCACATAAACTTAAAATGTTTATTTTAGAATTTCACTTGAAGCGTCGTGTAAAATTATTGCGACAATACTGCAAAAGAGTAATAGGTTTGCATTACTGCAGCAGTTATTAAGTTTTTTGAGATGCGATTTCGCAATTCATTAATGCAATGTATCGAAAATTGGTTAGTAATTATCTTAGATATTTATGGCCATAAGACATGTTATTTCAATAAATATTATGAACTTATGAACGTCTTCGCTGACTTATATGGTAGTCGCAATAGCTGTGTATTTAGCATTGCGTAATTCAATTCGACCATCATTTAAAATTATAGCAAATAAATTTTTCTGACATGAAATAAAAGCTGCACAATGGAGAGAAAGTCAAATTATATTAATCGAAAACTTAATATAAATATATATAATATATTTGTTGTTGCGGTTGTTGTCATTGTAACCGAGTTGGTTTTCGGTGAATATTGAGGCTGCGACAGTCCTTGACCGGGTCGTTCCGGTATAAAGGTCCAAGTGTCGCTGTGCGTGCGATAAATCCTTTACCGATACATTTTCTTTTAACGGTTATTTTGCTTTCTATATGAATCATTGAAATCAGTCAAACAATACCATAATAAACGTTTTTAGCACATCATTCAATTGATAGAGTTAATAGCATTTCATTTTAAGTCATTTTTGTTATGTTGATGAAAGTGTAACCAGCAGCTTCACTTTTAAAATAGTTAATTGCTAAAATTGTCATCTGTCGTTAAAGGTTTAACTTCTTCCTCTTTATTGGCGGTAAGGTTTACTGACATTAGCAATAACAGTTTGAGAGTAAGATATTTTACTCTTCAAAGAGATCCGGCTGAGAATGTTTTATTCAATTGTAAATCGAAAAGTAAATATAATTAGAGTAATAAGATTCTCTAGTGGTTATTTCCCTACAGAATGATTTTGAAATCAATTACAAGTAAAACAATTACATATTTGAAGATAAAATTTGTGCAATAAAAATAAATAGCCAAATGTAAAATGAAACCGGGGTCGTTTCCGTAATGTCAAGTGGTTATGACCACTTACAATAATATATAAGCTGGGACCTATATTTTAAATATACTAAGAATGTTGAAAGCACGAAAAAAGCTACAGAAAATAAAAAATAGTAACAGACATAATACAAATTCTTTTCAGTAATACTTCAATACACATGTATGGAAACTTTCTTACTTGTTGCCTTTTATTATTATGTACATACAAATGTCTTTTGGCCGAAAATCGCTAAGCGGATGTATTGCGCCAATTGCAGTCCGGCTCACTTGATTAGAAGCTGTATTTTTTAATACAATAAGTTATTTTTAAAATTGTTGTACCAAACATAGAGAACTGGTAGGTAAAATAAAATTAAAAAGTGAGTGTGGTCCGCCCTGTTTTCCTGATTTTAATGATCCACATTTTTTTGGGCCAAACTTTTATTTTTGTAGATATAATTCTGTTCAGTAAAAAATCAGTATACAAAAAATAATACAGTTCATTGGTATTTTATTAATTAATTACAAAGATTCTCTTTCAACTTATTGCATGGTTCTTCTTTGATTGGATAAATAATAATAGCAAAAAAATGTTTGACAGACTAAGTGAATAGAGATGAAAAGAACCATCAATTCTCTTCTTGAAGCCAATTTGGCTTAGACGTATATTTTAAATAGGAAACTTGTTGAAATGCAAGTTTGAAGTTTACGTCGTAGACGAAAGTTCAGAAATAGCAAATTCATAACATCTACGAAAATCAGAGCTTTGATGGATTCAAGCATTTAGGTCATAACCTTTAAGTGACAATAAGCCATGCCTCCTTAGCTATTTGGTAGTAATGCCCAAATAGTCGTTGTTGTAAATTTTGACATTTTAGCACATTTTATACATTATTAGACTCCACACAGCGACCGATACAAACTAACGGCTAAGAACCGATATTAAAATAACATTCATCAAATAGTCCATCATATTTTAAACAGATATATCATTTTTTAAAATGAGCACACTTGTGTTGCGCTTTTGATAACAAAAATTGGGAATTAAGCTGCTGATTTGAGAAGTTAACAAACTTAATTTGCAAAACGTTTGGTGTCTTTTATGAAAATTTATTTGTTTAAATAAAACAAATTTCAATATTTTTATCTAAATATCGAATATTTATATCAAGTAAAAAAATTACAAAAACGAAAGCTGAGACCAAAACTATCGAACAACATTCATATACACCTCGAACGCAATGTACATTACCAAATCAAAAATACGTAGTAGCAACGAACAATAGATGGGGAAATATAACAATTGAGGAAAGGGCGTACCAATTACCAAAATTTTTCACTAAATTTACTTTCAATTCTAGGGAATTTTGATAAATTCACATTTTGTTTCTGAACCATCACGTTTTCGACATTCACCAAATCAGTATACCAGCAAATGAATTACAATAACTAAATTAAAACGAAATTATTAATGAAAAATGCAAAGCACGACGCGAAACACACAATGGAGAAACACAAGACGTTCAAGCTACGAATTGAACGAATGACAGCAAAGAAGAGTCATACGAGTACACAAACGAACGACACAGAGCAATCTGCAGCAGATAATTTACTTATGTATGTTCCTAAAACAGCAAAGAATATTATTACTAGACATTCTTTGACTGCAACACTAGAAGAGTTTAAATTTTAGCGAATTTATCGATACTCTCAGTAATTTTATCCCGTTTATATCTATGCAGGAAGAATTCTGTCGTTTGTTTCTGAGGTTCGTGTGAACTCTGCATTCTGCGACGCTTACTGCGCTGCATTCGGCGTGCTGCCACGATTATAATTGAACGAGTATATGAACCATATATATGTAATCGCGGAGAACGTATGAACGTGGGAAAATTCCTCCGAGCGTGGGAAAATTTACCGTCTCCTGTATTTGTCCTACTCGCACCTCGATAAATTCAAATTTTTTCTGGGATATTTCTATAGAAAATAACGAGACCGTATAAAGAGAGAACGTATACACATATATCTGATTGCCAGATGTTTATTTCTTACAAGCTGGAAAGTAAATTAAGTCTAAAATATTGTAACGATTTTCGCTATGTGAGCACACAACTTACTAACCATACTGCTCTCCATAAACACACACAGTTTATTCTTCTCTCACGTAAAGAAGTAGTTTATTGTCCTGTCAACAGACAGTGTACTTCTCTTCACTTTACATCTAAGTTTTCCCTGCCAAGTTCAATACTCAGCTGAAAATTCCACTTTTGCATACCTGTTGCCAAAGTTTACACGAAGATACTTTCCGTGCTTTTTATTGTAATCTCCCTTCTGGTGTACCTCTTCACTTTCTTCTAGCATATTTTTTTGACATTTGTTTCATTTCATTTGTTTCTCTATTGCGCTTTACTTTACGTTCATAATTTTTGATTCCCTTCTCGCTTTTAATAATTCTAAAGCAAAAACACTATGGGTGTGTAAAGGAAGACACATCTACACATCTTTAACTCCAACGGTATTCTCAATTATTTCTAAAATTTCTTGAATAATTTCAGCTTTATCTGCAAACTCTATTATCTGAAATATTATTAATTAGATATACATATATAGGCATGCACATGCAATATTTAAGTATGATATTGTAGTAAGACCTCAAAAATCAATTTAAAAATTTACGGCTTTTATTCGTTTGAAATTTAGGAACGGCATGCATTAATTTTATACATTCGCTAATTCAAAAATTATTTATATATGATATTGTAGTAAAATCCCAAATTTCAATTTAAAAAAAGTATGGCTTTTATCCGCTTGAAATTCAACAGCGGCATTTAGTAATTTGATACAGCCACTAATTCGCAAAATGGTTGATATTATTTTTGTGACCATGGTATCAATTGCAATTCAGTACCGAAAGTATAAAAAAATTCGCCGGCAAAATGAATTCCAGCTAGCTTCGATTACATGCAATACACTTTCATAAACAGCTTTTATAACCAAAATTATTCATATTATTCATTAAAATTAACAAAAACTACTAATTAAAGTAAACATTAGAAGATAACTTATTTTTGAAGGTGTTAAATTTGCGTATTACCTGACTCATTTGTTTAAAACTAGTTTACAATTTCATATCGATTACCATTTTGTGTCATCTTTATGTACAACGTGCCAATTATATATTATGTACAATCATAAACATTCGAATTTTCGCAGCTACAAATATGAGTAATTTCGTATTTATTTTATTGATTTACATTACCATTATTTTTGAAATTTTTTAGATAATCATCGGGGTTTTAGAACCCGAATTGACCAGAAGACGGAGAAGGGATTGAAGGGATCGAGTAACATGTTCGATGTGCTCAACGAAGCAAAACATTGAATGGTATATTAGATTTAAAAATTTAATTAAACATTCTAATAGTACAGAAAATCGTTTGGAGCTTTTAAATCTTTATGTTGATATTAATGGCATTCCATTCGGGTCTCACTCATTAAAGTTACAAATGGCAGGCGGCTTGGTGAACTCACTTATTGAATAATATAGGAGTAATTGTTGAAATTATACTATACAAATAAAAAAATAAATAGTATTTTTTCATTTTCCTTTTTTTATTTCAGGTAGCGTCGAAATCACACATCTTGAGTGTTCAGAATTCTGAAGACAGCAATGAGTTTGACCGCAGATAAATAGGACCTACAATCGCTTGAATATGTAGCTATAATGTGTGTATTGCAGTATTTTATAGCCGTGAATAAATAACAATATACCAATTAAACGATATGCTGAAAGCACTTGATGTTATAGGGTCTAGATTACTCTTTTGCAAAGTCAATAAGTCTTCCATTCTTTTGTTATTTTCTCTGACAATTAAGTAAACAGCAAATTTATATTCATGATGAAATAATATACAGGTAAAACGTTGTATTTTCGAATTTTAGGAGAAATGGTTTGACTGTAAGTGTTGATCCTTCTCAACAATGTGAGTTATATTGTTGAACAACTAAAGTTCCGGAATGGTCGTCCAGAACAGCTTATTCGCAGCCAGCTGCTACAAGATAAGGAGATCACGCTAATTTCTAAGAGTGAATTGATGAAGCTGATACCATTTGTAATAAAGGTAAGGAACATCTGTATTTTTTTGCAGTCAGCTAACGTGGAACATCATTTGTTGAACCCAACGCTACTCTATGAACTTATTTTAAAGCTGCCATTGATTAATCGTATCGAGTGGCGGCATTACGCTGCCACCATCCAGCCGCGTGATGCGGCCATGCATTTTAGTGAGTGGCTAAGATTCCTACCCGTGAGCCGTAGCGCCAAGTACTTTACGTGGAGGAAAGACATCCGACGAAAGAGTGTACAATATGCCAGGACTGTAAACGTTTTGCCGATAAATCAGTGTCTGGAAGATGGTCGGAATTAAATTCACACCGCCTGTTTTTGCTTGCCTTTACGTTTGTCACATCATTCGTAACTGCAGACAAAGGGAAAGAATGTGCCATCGGCGGATGTAAGAGAGTTCGCCACCGTTTACTTCACGAAGCTGAACGTAATCAGCCATCAGAAACGTTACCTGACATAAACAATAATCGAGTTACTTCAACACAGCTATCAGTGTCGCAAGTTAAGTTGCCGCCGCCATCGTCTATTGATTCGCTGGACATGCAATACAATAACATGGTGCTGGAATGGAGAAACGTCACAAGCAACAAAATGTATATGCCGTTAAGAGCTTACAACTACCAACGCAAAGCCTAAGTAAGACCGATTTGCTGTGCGATTACAAATGTGTACCCCAGTTACCAGTGCAGCCGCATTCTGACGTCGTGCCGAGGCTTCTAAACGGTATAGACAACTGTCATTTGGGATTAGCATCGTCAACCATAGCCGTGCGTAAAAATTTACCGTTTGCTGATAAAACTGAGCTAGGCTGGGTAGAGTTCGGACCAACCAGCGCCACTTTGTATTTTGCCAACACCAATCTAGACCAGGCATTGCACAGCGCGATGAGGTGCGAGCCGCACCTTTTACAGAGGGTGGCAATGAGTCAGAGCAAGAGCCATTCTGCAATTTGACCTGTGTGTGTAAATGGAATAGTTCAAATTAAATAATTTTTTGTGAGACTAGTGTAGCTTAGTGAATTCCAATTGGTATCAAAATTATGCTTATTTTGTTTTTAAGCTGCTCAAGTAATTTCCCGATCTACTTGGTTTTTAGTTTTATTAACGAATTGTCGAGTATTTAACGACAGCTGTTGTGGAATTCCCTATTTTTGGGTCGTGAAATGACGATTTTCACGATTTCGCTGTTCGGTGCACATATTTTAGCGATTTTCGGTTTATTGAAACTTAACATAATTTTAACGATTCGCTATCGCGAATATAAAAAAAAAAATAATAAACAAAATCGTGAGAAGCTGAATAGAGAAGATTCAATATTTTAAAAAAGTACAGAATAACTGCTAACGTTCGTTTTGCGAATGATTTATGGTCCTCTGCGCGTTAGGAACGGCGAACACCGTAACCGATGGAAATGAGCTGTATGATATCTGTGGCGAGGCAGAGCAGTACTAGGTATTTCCAATTGACGTCAAACGGCGAAAAGAACGAATGAGTGGCGCGCTGTTGTTAACCTTTAAAAGCGGAAGCGTATATGCGTACAAATATTTTAGTGTAATATAAAATATGTTTAATGATTTTTACTTTCTTTTATTATTATTTTTTTTTAAATAAGTCATTTATGTACAAAGGCTTGACATTCTTAAGTACTAAACTTAAAATTTAACGCTCAACTCACCGATTATTGCAGCAACATCTTATATTATATGTACATTTCTATATGCTCTCCATTTTTATTTGCAAAGTGTTTTCCAAACTTTTCTTCAAGTATGGCATGTCGAAATGTTAAGATAACTCTTTGCAACCGAAAACAGAAAACCTCCCTTATTGGGGGAACAAATGCTTAGCTTGATCATTCCCTTTGCATCCTGCTCTATATAAAGTTTGGAGCAATAAACGTAACTAAGTAATAACAAGAATCCGCTAATATAAAACATACTATTATACAAATTGCTCTTGACTATTTGCAGAGATTTCCATAAGTCGCCAAGCGGCTTTTGGATTCAGCTCATTTGGGTCTCGGCAGAGGACCCATACATAATTTACCCTCATGACTTTATCAGGATCGCCTTCTATTACTTGATGGTTACTGTTCCGCACGCACATAATCTGCTGGGCTTGAAAGGTAATTATCAGAACTGGACCCTGTTCCATTACCTTACCCATCGCCAAATCTATATTTTCAATGTCAAGAATCTTCGAATCCAAATACATACCCATCTTAATTGCTTGAGTAATTGGTGTAGCAATAATATTGTATGTACTTTCAAAGCACCAGTCCTTTAAAATCTCTAAGTTTCCCCGCACCATTGCTTCTAGAATGTTTGGTATGATATCAGTTTCGCAGTCTCGAAGAAATTGTTTTTGGTCAAAACTTGGATCAATTTTACAAAGTTCGGTCAGAGTTTCTGACAGCTCTGTTTTAGAAAAAAGTCCACCCATAACGTCGGAGACTTTATCAGTCAAGATACGAGATGCTCGTATCACAGGATTCTCAGACTCATCGTATTTTAGCTTCCAGTCAAGCACTTTATTTACATACGCATTGTTGTTCTTAAAATTTTCCCACGATTGATAGAATTTTGAATCCTTATGTAGTTCAACTCCTAGTGGGATGAAATGTTATTATAAATAAACCAAATGGCAAAAAATCACAGTTACTAATGACTGATTTTTATATCTTTTACATCTATTGAGTCAAATTAGGTAATAATGTGATAAATGCAAAATATCAGATTTAAGAAAAATGTTTAATAGGTGGCCCGAGTAAAACAGTTCTCAAATCGCAAAAAGGAGATTTCTCATTCAATCCTATTTTTTGCGTATATGCCAATGATGACTAGATACAAAACTTTCTTAAATTTACTAATATTGTAGCTAAGAGCCACATCAGATCGGGAAGCATTTAACTGCTGATGCAAAAAGCATCATCCAAAGGATATATAAAATTATTTTAATTTTAATGCCAAAACTTTATTTGAAAATTTCAATTTAGAGTTATTTCATTACCACGGCGGGTATTCTCTGAAATGTTATAAAAGATAATGACTTCTGAGCTCTTTCCCAAAAAGAAAAGTTTGATTTCTAGTCATCTTTGCCTTTACTCAGTGCACACTTTTTTACGCATACTTGCTTAGAGAAATGCTTTGTGAAGGAGAGAAATTGCAATAAGAATACAATGAATGAAATGTGAATTTTTGGCTAGACGCGAACATGCACGAACTGTGGGTTGCTTTGCACTATTGAGCTATACTTACATGAATGATGATTTTTTTAATTGTGTTGGCGTGTTAAATATGTTTTCGGTAAAAATTTAGGCTTGTTTGTAGGATTTATTATAAAATTACTAAATTTTCGAAAAATTTGAATTTTCTGATTTTAATGTAATGTATATATAAATTTAGTTGTGTTAAATTCAACACCATTTTATCATTATGTTTAACATCGATATTTTAGAGAACTTATATTTTTTATACTTTACAGTTGCCGCAATGCCTATAGCAGCGGAAAATTTAACTTTGTGCAAACAAACCCATTTAGGTGAGTTAAAAAATAAAAATTTTTGAGTAAGAGACTTTTCGAAGTCGGAAGTCGTTTGTGAATTATATAAAATACTTTCAAACGTGTATTTCTCTTGAACTTTTTTTGTAAAGCGTAAAAAAAGTATTATTTTTGAATTTTTGTTTTTTAATCCCATATTTAAGAACGATCGGCTAAAATGGAGACGAGAAAACGATGGGTACGGCGAGTTTTAAATGAATAAATGAAGGCTCGAGTGCATTTAGCTCAACTTTTCCTAAACAAATTCGAAAATGGTCAGTCTAGCAATTTTAGTAAAGTCGTTACTGGTGAAGAAACTTGGTTTTATAAGTACGATCCAGAAACAAAACAGAGGTCCATGGTATGGAAACCAACAGGAGCAAACCCGCCCGTAAAATCTAAGCATCAAAAATCAGCAGCAAAAGTAATGTCACTATACTTCTCTAAAATCGTTCCTTCTATTCCACTGGAAAAGTAATGTCAGTATACTTCTCTAAAATCGTTCCTTCTATTCCACTGGAAAAGGGTCAGAAGACGATAATGAAGAGTGCTTACCAAAAGTTTTAAAAAAATTTGTTGGAAAACAGAATGAAAGAGGCTACTTTTTACATCATGACAACGGGCCATGCCACACTGCTGAAATAACGAGTATTATTATTGCGATGTGTGGGATCGAAGAAATACGTCCAGAGCTATAATCCTCTGGATATATCACCTTGTGATTTCTGGTTATTTCCAAAAATCTAAAAGTAAAGGTCTTTAATAGGAACAAGGAGATAATTAATGCAGTGTATGTTAAACTTGATAAGCTTAAAAGCAAGATTTTGAAGACAGTTTTCAGAAGCGGCAGGGAATGTCAACTCCTCCGAGTATATTTCTAACATGAAGTGAAGTTTATGCGCCGATTTACATGTGAGTGTAACGAAAAATCAAAACCACGTTTAATGATTTTGTTACTCATCTGTAGTCCACTTTGTCTAACTACACTCCCTCCATCATTAAAATTTCATCTACAGCGTGAGTCCTAAGTATTGTCGAATTTTTTTTGAATTATTATTGCGCAAAGCAGAGCAAACTTTTTTTTACTAATCATACCGATTTTGAAAACAAGTGAACATGTGTTCAATGTTGTTGTTGTTGTTGTTGTAACCGCAAAATTATTCCCCAAAGTACTTTTTGGGGAATATTGCGGGAGTGACAGTCCTTGGCCGGATAAAAATCCGGGTCGTTCCGGTATAAAGACCCGACTGTCGCGGGAACTATTGGATTTTAGTCGCCCCTTACGACAGGCATGCCTTACCGCGGGTAAATTCTTGAGCCCCTAACCCGCAGGGGTTCAATGTCGTTAGTTATTATTAAAAGTGACTGTGGGATGGACTCTATCGTTTCGAGTGCTTGTGCTGCAATTACATTTTCAAGCAAAAACAAAAAGAGAAATTTTTGAGCCGCTTTAAAATCTAAAGGTTAATCGCATTTTTGTTACAGCCTATAGTAACGTAAAAAATTTCAAAAAAAGCGGTAGAAAATGTTACGTTAGAACTCCCAGTTTCAGTTGCGCAGTTTCAGAAAGAAAAATGGCAAGGGATCTGAATGTCAGCCAAAAAACTATTCATATTATTATTGAAAAGCATCTAAAACTGGGAGCTTACAAGAAGAAACGCATTCATGGACTTACGGAAAAGCAAGCAGAAAAAGAAGTAGCCTTGTCCTTAAGCGACATGCAGAATAAAATAGTTTTTTTTCTGATGAAAAGCTGCTAATATTACAAAAATGCGGTAACTTAGAGAATGACCCCGTATTTACACCAAGAATGTGTGATATTCCAGATGATAAAAAAAGGAATTCAAAGCTATTGAAATACTGCATCAGTCAGTCACGCAAGCTTTGCTTTTTATTGAAAAAGGAGTTAATATAAACGTGCAGAATCATTTTAGGAAATGAATCATATTGCTTCCAGCAAAACTCTGCTTCAGCTCACAAAGCAAGATCTGTTCAGAATTGGTGCAAGGGGAACTTGCCACGTTTTATTCTGGTGGAAGAATGACCTCCATCTTCCCCCGATCTGAATCCATTGGATTTCACCACATGAGGATAGATTGAAGGAATTTAAAAATTATGAAGTTGGAAAAATGTAAACAATTCTGGAAGAAGACCAGTCGAAGTCATACGTGCAGCTTGTTATAATTTCCCAAAGCGTTTGAAGCTCGTGAAGCAGATGAAATGTGAATGATTAGAGCTTAACTAAATATAATATTGTAGAATAATTCAGGAAATAAAATAAAAAGATTCCAGCTCAAAAACACTTTGGTAAATTATTTATTCCCACTTTTCAGTGCGACAGTATTTAGACTCACGCTGTACACATATGAAAGTGTACATAAAGCTTTAATTATAAGAATTTTTTTTAGATTTTGATTTCAGTATAAGTTATTGGACTGCAAACATGTACACGTCTTTCGTTTAAAATCAATAAATTGTGATTTACATCTGTGCAAAAATACTTCAATGTTCTATATGTGATAGGTGGAGATCTTTACAATTTGTATTTCAGTTTATACATATCACATACCTGTAGCATCAGCATTAGGCTCGACCACTCTTTCATCATTGGCATATTCAACTTCTATACGTTTCCGCAATTTTTGGGGCGAACGATAGACCCTAGAATTTATGCTTTGTGATTCTATTTCTTGTTTTATCATTTCTGTTGTTGTTGAAATAGCCTGAAAAGCCGATGTTTGTCCTATTTTCTCACTTTTCTCTGTAATAGTATCAGAGACACCTTTCGCAGTTTTCGATATTCCTTCAGATATTTTGGTTGCTCTCTTTGCAATATCTGATTTACTGGCTTCGTCGAACACATCGCTGACCTTTTCTTTAATACTCCCTATTTGCTCTTTTAAAATGTTCGAAGATTTGTGTGCTTCAGATTCAACGATGTTAAACTTTTGTCTTGCCGATTGGAGAGCTTCAGATTGTTCTAATTTCTGCGCTTCTTCCCTGAATTTCTTTATATTTTCTTTCATTTCTTTATTCTTATCCATCTCCGATTTGATATTATCAATGAACTGCGAAAAAAATCCCGGTCTTCTACTTGGTTGCGAATAGTAACGCTGAAAAGGTTAAACGGCATATTTTGCAAGTTGAAGAAACTAACAAAACCCCATACCTGATGATTTAGTCCTCGCCAGTAACCATATCCGTGTACCATCCGGCTATATGTGCCACGAGATGCCGCCAAGATTTTGTACTTTAAGTGGATGCAAGCAAAATAACATGTAAGGAAGTCAACAAAACATGTTAGCATTTTAGCAGTTCCACAAATCGAGATTTTATCTTACCATTGTTAATAAATTGCCAGTAACTTTTGCTTTAAATTTAGTTGAGAATACTAATAAACAAAATTCTAAAAAAAATTTATGTAATTTCGTACTTATAACAGCAAAAGACAGTAGTTTAAGGAACCATCACGCTGTCGAAATGTCAAAAGTTTGACAGAAATATATAATAAAATATTATCGATACTAGGATCGTAATTTTCTTTTTGACAAAGCATTATCAAAAAAAGTTTGTACAAAATATTCATGTATTTTTCAAATATCAAACATTCTGATCACCCTGTATAAGGAAGTAAAATCCGTTAGAAAGTGTATATGGAAATCACAGTAGAGATTTTCGTGGAAAACAACGGATTCACATTTAAAGTAATTTGTTAAATTCTTTCAGTAAGTTGGAAGCAATATATTTTGCTGCACTCAAGTGTTTTAAATCGTACCTGTTCGGTGAAATCTATGAAGATAGATATTTTCATCGAGTGTTTTTGAAAGTACAACGTAACGGATTGTAATACTGATAGCTGTAGTAATAATTATGCTTGGAGCCAAGAGATATGCTACTTCCCGAGGGGTATGTAGAATCGGATTGCCCGTTATTTGTAAGAGTTTATTTTGGTCATGTCTCTCTTAAAGGATGCCGTTTCTTTTCTTGAATTTGGATCTCTTGATATTAAATGCATACCGGAAATAGGTGTGGATAGAACAATTGCAAGTAACTGCTCACCTAGTCTTTCGCCTACATCTACGGAATCGTCAATATCGTATCTTTCGTCAGATATATTGAGTTCATATTCGCCCACTCCTATCGGCAGATCTATCACTCCCACTTGGAAAACCATAAATAATTTAAGTAGCGATGGAGTGCTGGACATGAACGTGCCTGTCTTAATGAAACGCAACGAAAATGTTCATCAGGGACATAATGAGGGATCTAATGGACAATTAGCTCTGCAACAGCATTTTGGGAAATTATTATACTATACACAAAACCAAATGGAACAGAAAGACGAAATATCCAAGTCCCTTAAAATGTTCGCTTTGTTGGCTTCTTGCAAATATGAAAACGGTAATTAGAAATACATATGTATGTGTGTTAACGTTAATCTACTACGTATCTGATTTTTCTAACTGCGATAGTATTTGTTTTTAGCCTGTCACCGTTAAAGGCGACTGTCTGTCTGACTTTATGTAGGTACTAATTATTAAAAATAATTATCAAAAATATTTTTTGCGATGTTGTAAATATGAAATCTCCTTAACAACAGTATATTCATCTCAAATATATTAAAATGTTTAATAATATCTCAAGTGCACGAAATCAGGGTATTAGTCTAATTTGAATTTGAGTACATTTGGATAAAGGCAATAAAGATTGCCAATAATATATTTTTTTTTTTTTTTTTGAAATACCAAATTAATTATGATATCTGGCAATTGATACTCACATTTGAATAAATCAGGTGTTCTAGTTATACTCTGGTAATTATTGAATCATTATTTGAGCAAAATGCAGAATTAAAAAACAATGTGTCTACCACGTAATGCTCGCACAGATTGGCTCCAACTTTGAATAATACCTAAAAGAGCAAATAAAATTTATTAGAGTTAAAAGTTTTATAAAAATATGAATATGAATGTTTTTAGGCAAGTCAATTCCCCAACACGGTTGTAGCTAGAATATATGAATTTTGTTACGTAATAATAGATTCGGAAAATCAAAAACGAGGTTCGTTCAATGCATTTTGTTGGTGTAATAGATATTTCTCCTATTTCTCATGTATATTGTTTGTGCAATTTATTGAAAGGGAAGGAAGAACAAGCAATCATATGATGTGACAACTTGACCTTCTCATATACACTCAAGCAAAATAATGTTAAATGTTATTTGGACTAAAATATACAAAAAGGTAATGTAAAGGTAAAGTTAATATAAGCAACTACCTATGCATCAATATAATGTATATCGAGCCTTAAATACGATTGTTTCGAACAGGTCTGTCCCCAATTCAATGAAACAAACGAACAGCAATCCGTTTGTATTTATATTTACAGCTTTTTGCTTTGCCGGTAACATTTGAATCTTCATTTCTACAGTTTCATGTTGTTTGCCTTTAAATATTTTTCTAAGTATTTTAATAAAATTGACGAATTTAAATTTATTAATAGTATTTGAAAAGCAAAAATTATGTAACCTTACATTTTTCATAGCAGTTAAAGATACCAATATGATTTTTAGGATAGCTCTCTATACGAGCATATTTAGAAATAGTTTTATTCTTCTTTCCAATGCGACATACATTTCTACGCCGTCGTCGCTTTTAGAACCTTAAGTATGCATTAACGTTACTGGGACCGTAGCAATCAGTGTAGGCGGCTGACAAGTGTGATCCGCATTATCTTTGCACTTTACTCACAGACCATTTTTTTTGTTATTCTATACGTTACATTTAATTTAAATTTTTTTAAATTAATAATAAATAAGTTAGCGGGGAAAAATAGTTTCTAGTAAAGAGAGTGTTTATAGTGTGACAGTGTTTACGGGATCCGTAAGTCTCCTCCCCAAGATTTTTTAAAGCAGAGGTCTACAATCATATTTAACGGAAAAATAATAGTTATATGTATATTTTCGTGGAAGATATAACCTTTTTTTTTTTAATACATCAACCATTTAACACTGTATTACAACGTTATGTATCTATACTGTTGCAGTTGTAAATACATTTCACGCCGGTATGACCCGAATGCTGTTTTCAGAATGGCAGCACGCAATGCTAACAACTCGCCAATAATATAAAATCTGTTCCCCTTCCGAAAGGCGGACATTTGTAATAAATCAAAAATTTATTTTCAATTTTTTGTGAAAGACCCTGGCGACCGTCGAGCGAAACGCAGCAATAAAACTATTATTTGTTGAAAAGTATAGTAATACAACGAACATTTTTTCTTAGCTTTAAGAAATTTGATTAATCTTCGATAAAAATTACTCTTTAATGGGTGTTCATTCAGAATTAATTTAAGATCCTTAACTTAAATGTTTTCATATAATTATACTATATACATATATCTTACGATATCCCAGAGCTGGACTTTATACTCTACCTGTGCATAACATCACATAACATTTTTATCTGGTTTCTGTAGCTCAAGGCTTCCTTTACGTAAAAGTGGTGGTTATGATAAATTTCTTTATTAATCGATGAAAGTATGAACATCTTAGAAAAAGAAATATGCACATATACATAGATGTGAATAAAAAACCTATATTTTCAGATCCGTTAGAAGCAACTAAAGACTCTCCAGTAGATGACATAATGGAAGAATTTTATTGTAACGGATATGTTGCTGACGAAAAAAATTTATTTCAACAAGGAAAAGCATGGCATAATCCTTACTATAACTTCAATACAAATATGTGCAACAATAATGGCAACCAGAGCAATTTAAGTTTTGGAGTTATAAATTATGGACATAACAATAGTAGTGTCGCTGCTAATCATAGTATTAACAACAACAATGCTTTGAATCAACATTGTTTTGAAGCCAAGTTAGGTATGCTGAACTTACCGGCCCCGTCGCCTTATTTCAATAGCAACATGGCATTGCAGATCCCACAGCAAAATACTGCTGGAATAACAGTTGCCGCAGCAGCTGCTGCCGCCAATATTGACTACAACAACAAAAACTCAAAAAAGGCACAGAAGCGGTATAGCAACGCAAAGTTGGATAAGTTCGTGAGTTTATATCGAATATTATTGTTTTCATGACTAGTTGCATAGTTAATAATCATACATATGTTCATACTTATAAGGTGCAATAGAAATTTGAAGAAGATCGGTGCGCATTACATATTTATATTTTTTTATTCTTTAGTATCGGCGTTTTTCAGTCGATATAACATCAATGCTATTGACTAAATGTATTGAGGCGACGTTGACAATTTATCAGTAATTAATTTTAATTTTTATGCTACGCCATTCATTCCTTCTTTTCGCGCAATTAGAAATACCAAGTGCAGCCACATGTCTCGTATAGCTCATCGTTCCAACAGCTGCGGTATTCACCGTTACCAACTGATAAATGATCATACGCATTACGCAAACACTTCCCTGCGTGGACTTTACTTTGTAATTACATACTCAGTCTGCGTTAAATTTCAAAGTTGACATTGTTGTTGGCATTAATACTGTATCCAATAGAGACGAAATTATACACAACTTTAAAGTAACGTAAAAGCCGAATATTACGACTGTTTGTTTGATGACAAAAGATATTTCGCGGCGCGGTTGTTGACGCTTTGATGGGAATATCATCGTCGTACGCCAGCTGATATACATCCTTATAGAAGATTGTACCTATTCTATTCACAACCTCGTTTGGTATCGAACGTCATCCTTCAATTACAAAAACTTCTTTGTTAAGACGACGATTTATGAATCTACATGCAAAAAAATTGTGTATCAACAAATGTAAAAGTAAAACGCGAATTGCATTTACATCAACTGTGGCAGATCCAGTTGATCGTTCTTATCCCTTAAAATTTTGTGCTTTATATTTTCGCTGGTTTCTCTTTCACAATCAAAAATGATATCAGTCTGAAGCCATTCTATTTTTAATTAAAAATCCCAAATGTGTTAAAGCTAGTACAAAAATTAAATTAAATTGTTGGTATGGTCCATGCTGCAAAAAAAGAAAATTGAAAGGAAAATTCAATGTCCGATTAAACACTTGTCTCTTGCGTATTTAATTAAATTACCCGTAATTCTGCATATTACATATTCAAAGTAAATATAATAATACTACTCTCATATGTTTAGCGGCTAGTTGAAGTTTGAAAAAAATATTAATTTTTCGTTTGTATTATTTCCGGAGTTATTACAAGTGTCAATAACCAATACATACGAGTATTCGATCATTTTCAGTCTGCAGTAAAACACTGTGTTTTTTGCGAAAATAACAACGAACCGGAAGCTGTAGTGAGAAGTCATGCCGTACGCGATTCGCTAGGACGTGTTCTATGCCCCAAATTACGGACTTACATTTGCCCGATTTGTAAAGCCTCGGGGGATAAGGCGCATACAGTTAAATATTGCCCGCAAAAGCCTATTATTACAATGGAAGACGCAGTAAAAGCTGAATCTTTACGCCTAGCAAAGAACTTGTACTTCAAACAAGGAATGAAAGTATAAGAAATTAGTTTTTTAAATTCTATCTTAATAGAAATTTCTTTAAAAAGAAAATTTTTCGTTTTTGTAAATATAGTTTCTAAGAGTCGTACAGAAAAATGAATGTACGTTAAATTATTAATTATTATTTACTTTTCGTTTTAGTAAATAAATTTTGTTAAGGGTAAAAAAATGTATATGAACGCACATATATGCCTTAAAAAATGAATCGTTTAATTTAATAAACCATTCACGTATTTAAATTTCCTGCTTAATATAGATAAGTATAAATTGAAGTGAAAGCAATATTTTTCCTTATTAAATAGCGCAGAGTTGGTTAAACTCATTTAATTTTCTGATGTGTTGAAGTGATAATTGACACTTAAATTAAAATATTGGCATACTTCAATTGATCTCATTGAACTGTTCAATATAACATTATACTTATAAATTACATATCTTTACTATATTAATAACTTAACAGCTCGTAATTCATTAGCTTTGCAGCTACTCGATTTTAATATTTTAATGTATTGTTCTTTATTGAAGTATTAACCTGCTGGTGGCGTTAAAATCGATTTAGTGGCTCATGCCGCTTTTTATATATGAACTTATATATTGAACTTGTGCCTAAAAAATAAAATTTTTTAATACGCTCATTACAAAACTATCGCATACAATGACAAAATATATAATAAATCTTTCGCTATTCATAATTGCTTATATTTTGTATTGAGTTTAGTTTCTAGAATATCATCGCCAAGATACTCTAAAATGCTGGTATTTTTTGTGTAATTTACTTAAGGTGGTATATATATGTAAACGTATTTGGAGTTTAATTGAAATGGTAAATTATGTAATTACCATAAATATAAGTTTTGTTTTACATACATACGTACCATGTAACTATCTACAGCTATTGTAAATAAATAAAGAGTATTCAAACTTATCTTTCTAAAATTTATATGTATTCTATGTATCAGACCTTCGCAATTATATCTAACTTTTTTTTTAAAGGCGATCGAAGATATTTTGCTGTAATAAGGTTTTTGTAATCGGGTTTCTCCCTCCTGGTGTAATGGGATGGGCCTATTCTCGGCTACTAAGATAGTTCCAACTTATTGGTCACAATGGAACATTTTGAAACCAATGCAGAGATTTTTGCATATAAATTTCCACATTGGTTCTAAGCATCGCTTATTGCTATGGCGTAGGCACCGCTGGCGCGATTTAATCAAATTAACTCTTAATTCGCTGGACTATGTTAACGTGTAAACGGCAGAGAATGCCAACCCATCCTAGTGTATTTTCTGACATGAAATAAAGGCTCATAAGAAAACATCAAATTCATTACAATTAGGAAACTACTTCATTTTATTTTACCTTAACGGTTTGTATTATGCAGTTGTTCCCACTTTTGTGTAATCCAAGAATATAAACATATTAATATAAAAAAATTTATTATTATTTCAAATAAACATAAGTGTTTATATCAGTCAGATTCTTCACTTCGGCGCCGCTTTTCAAATAACGCTATAAATATTCCATCAGCATGATCCTGGTCTGGGCGAGTGTAAAGACAATATTTACCCACATTCTTGTAATTGACATTACCAACATTATTCCATTTATTACGCAAAGCTTTCTTGCAATTAAGTAATTTAAATTGAGGATTTAAACTTAAACAACGTTGAACCACCTACATATATAAAAAGAAGGTTACATAGCTATATATACGTTTATAAAACAATATTTTCTGCACAAACCTGTTCGTTTTCTTCTTCAAAAAGGGAGCACGTAGAGTAAACTACCCGTTTCACATTGGGAAATGAGTTTAAAGCATGGGAAAGCATTTTTATTTGTAATCCGGCAAGACGCCTAAGACGGTCAGGGTCTTTTTCATCTGGCTCTAACGACATCCTGTTTTGCATTCCAGATCCAGAGCAAGACGGATCAACAAGTATGTATTCCACAGTGGGACAACGGTTGCTATCTGTAATAAAGGCGTATACTTAGTGTGAAAACTACTTTCTATCTCTTTGTGCATCTACATACCTATTGTTAGAGCATCTGCGTTTATAGATTTGATTATTTCACATCCAGCTGATTCAGTCATTTTACGTAACAAGAAGTAGCGTTCTGCATTCTGCTCCACAGCATAAATAGTACCTTTATTTTGCATTACATTGCATATTTGTATCGTTTTCATCCCTGGGGCTGCACACATGTCAAGTACAAACGCACCGGGCAATGGATGGAGTAGGTCTGCTACCAAGCAGGTCCCCTAAATATAAGAGAAAAAAAAAATTAGACAATATAACGAGTTTAAAATCTCTTACTTACTTTGTCTTGAAGCATGAGCTTTTTTTCTTTAACATATGGATGGCATGCCCAGTAATGCCTCTGTTTGGAATGAAATATTAAAAGGTCATCTAGATGCATGTCAACCAGATATTCATCCTCTTCAAGCTTGGTTACAGAGTCTAAGAAATCGTTATAAGATCCTGAATGAACCATTTCTTTCTTGCGCCACTTTTCTGCCTCCAACATTTGGAAAACATCAGCCAAACTAAGTAAATTAGTATTAACACGTACATATCGAGGTTTTGAAACTGAAGAAAGAAAACAATTATAATTTCTATCCAATAGAATTTTATTGATTTATTAATAACATATTAAGTATTCTTTTTATCTGGTTTTTCTGGTACCGAAACGCTATTTTCCTCGCTTACAGCTTTGTATACATAGAGACAAATAATTACATTTACCACAAAAACTGAGGATAGTACCGCCCAGCAATTGACATAGAACTCCGAAATGTCAAATGATTCACGCAACCAAGACCGGACACCATAAAAAGCAATAAAAGGAAATGTGAACATTAGAAAACTGAAAATAACCAACCAAACAAATACTATTGTACTAGTGTCATTTGGCTGTGTGGGAACTTTTCCGTCATTTTGTACTTTTATCCGATTGTCTGGTTCCTTAATAACGGCAGATTTTTCCAATGATTTGATGTCATGCATTTTATATCTACCTCAAAATTCTACTAACTAATAGAATAAATTGCTTGCCTTTAGTTTCTTTGCTGTCACAGACTGCTTTACTCAATAGTTCTAAAAATTGTTCGTGGTAATTGAGAACCGTAAGAACGGGCTTACTTTCTCCAGTTAGTTTTTTGCGCCCAAAAATAAGTTCGGTCACAAGAATCCTGCAAAGTGCAGAGCACAAAGGTGGATTATCCTCCAAAATTTTTGTTCGAGCGATTGCGTTGTCAATGGCACCTCGATTGTCAATATACTGTTTCAACACTGCTTGCATTCCTCGCATTCGCTGAAAATCACACACATTATTAAAACTATAAATGACTATATTAAAGACTTACCGCATGTTTCTCTTCAAAAATTAACGATTTTAATGATTTTTTTCGTTCTAAAGCTGCTTTCAAAACTGCAGCCACTCGCTTATATTGCGTAGGTACTTTAATAGAATGATTAAATTTGCTCACTTCCATTTTCTTTGCACGTGATTTTATTGCACAGATTTTCTTTCATAGGCAGTAGAGAACGTAAATCAACGTTATACGTTCTCTCGGGCAGGGCTGGTTCTAGTTGGTTGGTAAACGTAAACAGCAGTAAAAAATTACAATTATTCTAAGATCTCTGCTAATGGGGCGAAAATACCATATACAACTGACAGTTTAAAAGAAGAAACCAATAACTACAACGTGTTCTAAAACATGAGAAATGTTCTGTTTATAATAAGAAAATTAAGGAAATTATCAGAGTTGATTACGAGCGATAAGTGAGGTATATAGAGAGTTAGTTAGTTGTACGGCAATTATCCAAAATCATAGTAACTCAGCTGTCAACTTAGCTTATAAGAGTGCCTGATTGCGTAATTGATTATTTATTATTAAATAGATAATGTACTGTTACGATTTTACTAAATTACCCTCGATTATTTCCTGAATCCTTCGGACACGATCTCTGGATTGTTAAATAAAAACTCGCCAACTTAATTTGCAGTTTCTTTCGTTATAAAGAATTTATCTAATATCCTTTATTCACTCAGTAATTCACAATTCAATTACAAGGCACTTTACTAGCTACAATCACTTGCATAAATTTTCACAATTTACTTTACTTAAATGTAATCTCCAACGCGTTTACTTTACGACTCTACACTGATGTTCTCGACAACGAGTTTACTTTGTAACTAACTTAACTTGGCAGCTGAGTGTCGCCCTTATATAGCTGTCGGCTGCTCGCAGACGAAAGTGTAGAATCATCGAGTTGTTCGCTATCGAAGGTTCTCGTTTAGAATGTACTAGTTATCGGCTTCTCTCTTTCATCTGACATTCGCCTCGCATTTTCGCAACACAGCCCTCCACCTAAGTCTGATCGTCCCGATCAGACACATTCACTGTTCCAAGCTGATCAAGCCTCTCAAGGTGGACCACTTTCATTTTATTTCTTGGACTCCCAACGGTTTGGATTCGGTACACTACATACCTTACATTGAAGTTTTGGGGACAAACCCTTCTTCCGTTGTGGATTGTACAACAGCAACACTAAATCTCCATTTTGGAAACCTTCAAAGTTCATTGCCTTGTCATACCTGGTCTCCATTTTGTCACTCATAACTTGAGTTCGCTGTCTCACAAGAGCATG